GTGTGTGTGTGTGTGTGTGTGTGTGTGTGTGTGTGTGTGTGTGTGTGTGTGTGTGTGTGTGTGTAGGTCAGAATGCTGAAATCAGTTTTTTCTTTCCACCATGTAGGTCTTGGGGTTAAATCCAAGTTGTCTGGCTTGGCAGTAAGCATTTTTACCCACTGAACCATCTCACTCGCCCTAATTTCATATTTTTGTTAAAATACAACACACAATTTTATATAGGTTTTTACTTAAAATTTTGCTGCAGGCATTTACCATAATTATATGCATGTAATGTTATAGTTTTTTTTCTTAGCATATCAAAAACATTCTTCATTGAAATTATTTAAAGTTATCATTTAATTTTTATTTCTTATTGGACAGTTAGGCATAGTCTACCCGTGGGAGACCATAGTGCTCCCGGAATTTGGTAATGTTCCACAAGGCACAGGCAACCGCTACCACAAAGTATGAAGGCAACAGACTACCCTCTGTTTGGGTGGCCAGGAGGCATGTGGGAGTTTTACTGTGCCTGCTTTTCTTTTTGGAGCTCAACTTCAAGAATCAACAGTTTCCCCTCGTGGACTTCTGGGTACCTAGTCCACCTGGTTCCCTGTCTGCCCATGCAGCTCTTTCCACATTTCTGGCCTCATTTTTTCTTACTATAAAAGGAGATAGCTGGGGTCAGGATCCTGGAGCTGGGCCCAGTTTATGATTGCAAGCATCAGCTGCATGAAGACCATCCATCAAGCTGCAGCTTATGTGGGTACTGACCTCAGCCCCCAGCCTCGGAAGATATGTGTGCTGTTGATCCGGGGGCCCTCACAGGAATGAGTCTATGGCTCCCACCTGCCTTGTTGATAACTACCAAGCATAAACAGGATACCAGGAATGTTTAAATGTGGGGTTGTTCTGTTCCAGAGGATGCCATACATACATTTGGGCTATTTCAGGGTGGCGCAGGCCTTGTAGGAGGATGGCGAGGGGCTCTCTGCTGATCCAGTTACCGCCATGTGCAGAGGCAGCAAATGCCACCATTCCTGTCCAGTGACCTAAGAGGAGTGGGAAAAGATTCTTGATCTACATGTGAAGTGTCCTTGCTGCAGGCGCAGGACAGGAATGGACAGAGGGAGTGGCCGGGGGGGGGGAGGGGTAGGGGCAGCTGTTCAGTAATCCTCTGAGCTGGCTGTATCCCAAATGGACAGACTAGACCCGTAGCAACTAGGAAAGACCCCAAATAGCCAGCAAAGTACAGACAGGGGGGAAAGGGGTGCTGGACCTGGCGTTTAAGGGTCCCTAGAGCAAGGCCTGGCTGGACCTCCCTTGACCGCTGCAGGGAGAGAGCAGAAAGCAACAAAACTTCTACCTCTAAACCCTCTGTGAAAAGGTTGGAACGTTTCACATTTGAGAGTTGTCTGGTGGGAGAGGAGTCTAAGTGTCCCGACTTCTGGCAAGCCCTGGCTCTGGTGTACCCCCAAGCCACCGTATCCCTCGGGCTCCTACAGCCCTCTTCCACACACACTGCTCCCTCGGGCTGCTTCTGGTCCAGCCCTTGTGCTAGGGGCTTCTGGAGGCACTATGGTACAGGGAGAGGAGCCCCTCCACCTTAGGCTGGTGGTGGCTCTCTGGGGGCTACAGCAAGGCAAGCTCCTTTGTGGGTTAGGAGGGGAGCCAGGGCACACTAGGGCCCTTGAGCAGGCATACTCCTCCTGACCCCATAACTCTCCCTGTGGGGTGACATCTGTCCCGAGGATTTGGTGGGGAAAGTTGCACGAGAGAAAGGAACCTTTGCTGGTCTCCAGTGCCCACTTTCCTATGGAGGAACAAAGGCAGCAGGCAGGGATGGGAAGGCTCCAGGAGCCCATCTGTGATCTGGAGGACACTATGGCTGAGCAGTATGTGGACTGGGTTTACTGGAGAGGGGGCTCCTCCTGGGCCCACCTCAACCTTCTCTCCTGCCCTGCCTCCCTGCTTGCTGGTGTTGTCTCAGCTCTGCCTGACCTGGTGTTTTTCTCAATTTCCTATTAAAATTGCCAGAGTGTCCATTTTCCTCTTCTTGGCCGCGGGAAGCACAGACAAGGAGTAGCAGTGTACTAGGGTCGTGTAGATCTGTCCCATTCCTCCTGTGTTCCTGCAGCCCAGAGCAGCAGCAGCCCTGAGGTACCTCCTCTTTCCCCAGCCATCTTTAGCTCATGTTCCTTAGAGCCAGCTGTCCAGATGCCTCCTCTCTGCTACTTAGGGCTTGTCCCCTTTCTTCCATTTCCTGCTTGCCCCCAAAGTTTGGTGGTCACCTCAACAGGCTTCCCTTGGCTTTCCTGCAATGCCCCCATTAAATGTACACTGTTAGGGATTTCATGAGAGGAGATCCTTGTCTGTCTCGACCACAAAGGCTCTGCTGTCCTCTCTATACAGAGACAGAGTTGAGGTGTATATTTGTCCATTTTAATTCATTTGGTTGACAGGCATCAGACCTAAATCAGATTTGCAGTGGAGAGAGGAAATTTTCTAAATGTTTCATTTTGCTCTATTGGCGTTCAGCAGAAGCAGCTACAGGCTCTCTTTTCTCCTCCTCCCATCCCTGGGGAAGAGAGCATATGTCCAAGTGTGACTTAGGGGCAGAACACTGCCTGTTTTCCAGGCCCTTGGAATGGCTTGGCTCAGCACATGAAAAAAGATCCTGCCATTTGTGTCCTCTTGACTCTTCCCAAAGTAGCATCTCAGGCGGGCAGTATTGCCTTGTAAGGCAGGTAGTGGCAAGGGCCAGGGAGTGTGCGGTCAGCTGGGAGCATGGGGACAGGGACTGTCATAAACAGCACAGGGGATTAACTCTGGCCCGCATGGCTTTGGGGAGTTCAGAGGAATGAGGAGCCGGCGCCAAGGGAGGGAGAGGTGTTGGTGTGTTTTTCGAATGCAGGACTATAATTAAGGGGTGAGAAGATTCGTGCTAACCCGTAACCAAGGCTGCAGAAGAAATCATGAAATCTAATAGCCCCAGGAGCCTGGATTTGGAACCTCACATGGCCCGAGCTTTGAAGCCTATTTCAGAGCTCAGCACATTCATCAAGGGGGTGCTGGGGCTCTGACAGTGTCAGGTGGCGGATGGCAGTCTCTCGGTGCCTAAAGTAGCTCTTGGGCACCTTCAAGTCACCTGTTCCAGGACTACCTCAAAAGACACAGAGGGACTTTCCAGAGAGTCTTGTGCGCATGTGTACGGTTGGGAGGGGGGCATCCTCATCTCAGCAGAGGGCTTTCCAAGGGCATAGGCCTAGGGTTTAGGCAAAAGTCCTCCAAAAGCTTACCATAGTAGAAAGAAACGTGGGGTAGATGTGCTCAGGGTGTGAGGGGTGGTTGACCTACCCAGTGTGGGTTAAAATGTAGCCTATGAGAGTGTGCCCTGGTGGCCACAGTTGCTGGGAAAGGTGTATGGCTGTTACTTGCTCCCCTCTGTATCATAGCATGTACTGGACATGTTGCAATATTAAAACGTTTTTTTTTTTTTTGTTCCTTCTAGCTGTATGATGCTCACGGTGCTCCCTGGGTGTGCCATCCTTAGCCCCCACTAGGAGAATGCTGAGAGACTAGACCTTCCTTCTTCTTCTTCTACCATCTCCGACCACATCCTCTAGACCCAGTGATTCCTGGAGAATCCACCCAGGCAGACTCGGTTGTGGCCAGGCCATGTGGGCACGCCGTTGCCTCAGGCGCTGGCCAACAGTCTTTCTTAGAAAGCCATGGGTTTGGTGTCCCCCCCTCCTATGCAAGGGCGCAGCCTGCCCCGCTGGGCACCACGGCTCCCTCCGGAGTTACTTCTGGGGGAAACTGGGTTCCGGGGTCCCCCCGCCCCCGTGGGATTTCCAGATTAGAAACTAAGTCGAGAGGGGCACCCGTCTTTAAATGAGGCCACATTAGTCAACAAATGAGAGCATTTGAGCCCAGCTTGGATGAGGCCCAGCGCTGCCCACGGCTACCCATGCTGCTCTCTGGGGCTCGCAAAAGCATGAACTTGCAAAGTCTCAGCTTAATTCCTGGCGCTGGGAAGTCCACCTCCTTTCTGAGCTGGTGGTAACTGTGCTAATCAGCTAGGCCACAGGACAATTAGACATGACCTTGTGGGGAGCCCTGCCAGCCCAGAGCTGCTATGGCTGACTCAAGAGGCTCTCTGGGTATCAGGCATTTCCAGAGATCTTCACACGGAGTCTCCTAGTGAGCTCCAGCCCCTGAGGGTCACCTGCTCTCCCCACTTCCCTACTCAGGGGTCTTAAGCGAAGTGCCCACCCTCACAATGCCAAAAACGAAGGTCAAGAGGCTACATTCTATCTGGATATCCCTTCCTCTGGAACCTAGGCCTTGAGAGGGACCCGCAGAAGCCTCAAAGTTAAGAGAGTACTTCAGTCTGGTTACTTTTGGCATTTTGGTCCTCTTACCCCAATCTTGGCCCCTGCCAATCTGGACTTGTGGCCACACCCAGGGCCAGCTCCCTGGCTGAAGGCTCATTCCCTGTATGGTGTTGCTGTGGCCTGGCAGCATGCTCTAGTCCTGCCTACTAATGGAGCACATGTCAGCTTTAGGGAGCCATTGTGTAAAGCTTCCCCTGGAAGGCTTTATCTCTGTGCTCCATAGCCTCTCTACTCCACTCTCTCACACTTGTTCCCAGCAAGAAGGCTGCTGTGTCGAAAGCCTCGGGGCCTTTTAGCACCTTCTCATGATTCAGGTGAAGTGCCTGTGTTCTTTCCTGGGACAGGCTTCCCTGCACATATCCTGGACTAGGGTTTCATTGTCCCTTCCCTGGGCCTCCCCGTCTTCTCTCTTCTTCCTCCTCTTTTCCGAAGCATCTCACACACAGAAACCAATTATGCTGACTGCATAAACACGCCAGCTGATGGATGGGCTGTCACCAAATGAGCGTACCTTTTCAGCTCTTAGGGGTGCTCAAAGGACCTGGTCCATAACTTCCCTCTCTGCTGTTCTCGGCCCCTCTCCTCTTAGAAATTCAGTGCGCTGAGGCTATCAGGAAGACGTAATGGAAGTTCTGGGCACCACCAAGCCACATTCATTCCTCCTTCGTTGATTCACCAAGTGTTTATCCATGGTGTCTTATTGCCAGGTATAATCAGACCTGTGGGGGGGTTGGGGGAGAAAGAGTCAGGATACCTTCCAGTTTTGGGAAGACATGATTAGGTGTGGCCTGGTGGTGTGGTCAGACTCTCAGGGAGCAGAGAAATACTTGGGCTGAGATAGGTCTCCCCAGAGGGGAGCATGTGAAGGCAAAGTGGAGGATGTGGGGGTTCATGAGGCTCCCCAATCAGAAGAGGCACTGGAGCAGGCTCAGGGGAGATGGGAACAAAGATCTCACAGACATTTGAACATTCTGCGATTTTTAACTTGAGATCACTTAAAAGTTGTGCCAAGATACAATATTGGGCCACATATCGACAAGAATACATTCTGAGAAATGCATCACTAGTTAGGTCCTTTGGTCATCATGGGTACACCACAGTGTCCCTGCACCAAGCTGGACAGCATAATCTATGGCACATTTGAGCTCTATGTTTGGCATATTATACCCAGGTTGCAGACACATGTAGCACAGACCTTTGTGAACATACCAGGCAGTTAGCACATGGTCAGGAGTTGGGTCAGAACACATCTAAGTTCAGAAGAAATCTCAAGAGAAGGCTGGAATGGGGCTTGGTGATGGAGAACTTGCCTGGTATGTACGTGGTTCTGGTTCTCATCTCAATTCCAGAAAAAAGGAAAAAGGAAAAGAAAAAAGCAGGAGGTGGGGGAGAAAGGGGCAAAGAAAGACCCAAGTACAGGATTTTGTCAGCTCTTGCACCCTGTGGGAGCTGCCATGCATTTGTGGGCAAAACTGTCACCATACCACATATGACTGTAGACATCACCTAAATCCACCTTTCTGGCCTTGCACCCAAGATCAAGGCACAAAGCAAAAATCGTGCTACCATCACCACCACCCACCCGGTGAGAACTCCATTCCCATGAAGCCATGCTTCCCACTCACCCCAGCACCAGCCTGTTTCCCATCCATGGATCTTTCCCAGGTTCATCACATGAGTGGAATCCCATAGAATCTAGTTCTCATCTGGCTCGTCTTATTCAGAACAACATCCCGAAGTCTCACTTGTGGTACAGCATGCTGCTGCCGTGTCTTCCTAGCCTCCCTTTTGTGAGACAGGGAACTCACAGAGATCTGCTTCTACCTTCTGAGTGCTGGGATTAAAGAAGTGTGCCACCATGCCTGGCCTGTATCCTGGTCTTTCCAAGACAGGCATCATCATCCCACTGTATGCCCCCACTGACCACATTGGGTTGGGTGGACTCCATTTGGGGGATAGTTGGCTGTCTCCCTTGTAGGCTGATGTGGCCAATGCTGAAAAGATGTTCTCATAGGAAAAAATTTAGGCTCCTGCTTGCTTTTTTTTTTTTTTTTTTTTTTTTTTTTTTCCTAGCGCCTGCCCAGAAATTGAATTTTCGGATCACCTGAGCATTTTATTTTGCTTGTTCATTTTTTTTTCTGAGCCACTGCCGGTGGAACCCGGAGCCTCTTGAGCACTAGGCAAGCACTCTCCCACCCCTCTACACTCCAGCCATCTGGACATTTGAAAGCACAACACTTTGTGTCCAGTTGGCATTTCAGAAAGGCCGGTAAGGAGCCGCCTTGGCTATAGACTGTAGGGGGCTGATGTTGGAGGCAGAGCACAGAAAGGACCTGGACAGAGGCACTGGGAAGAGACAATAAGCCCCAAACCCGGTCTGTGAGAGGGGGGCAGGGAAGCATGCAGGACTGGGGTCTGTTCTGAGCCAGGCAGCCTGCTCATTGGTTGCTAGTGTGGCGAGAAGACAGTGGAGATGCCCCTGGCAGCTGGGCGGGCTGAGTGGCCGGTAATGACACCATTATGTACGTGCAGGGTCCAGGGTCTCCCTCTTTGACGAAAGGAAGGGGGGAGATAATGAGTTCAATTTGGCTGATTTAATCATTTCTTTCTTCATGAATTCAGCAAACATTTCTGGAGGGTCCATTAAGCACAAGGCGCAGAGCGGGGTGCCCAGAAAACACAGGCAGGGAGGGAGGTCACTGCCCTGAGCTGGAGGCGCCTATAAACAGGTACTCAGGACCCAGTGTGAGAGGGAGGGGGATCTCGAGGAGAGCTGGGTGGTTGTGGGCTCTGGAGAGCTGCCTGTTTCTAAGCAAGAGAGAGCAAGAGTCCCAAAGAAGTGGTATCATAACCTGCAAGGGCCACTCCAAGCCAGGAGCTAACTTTGTGACCATAAATCCTGCATGACAGAGAGGAGAAAAAGGAGGAAGAAAAGGTTGGGGTGCACATCTCAGGGACTTGCAGTCAGAGTGAGACTGAGGGCTTGATTGAGGTGATGGGGAGCCACTGGTGGTCCAGGAGGTAGATACTGGTGCTGGGGTCCAAATAGGAAGAAGGAGAGGAGAGGGATTTCCCCCAGGCCACAGCAGAAGAGGGGACAATCAACCTAACTTCTGTTTACTGCCCTCAAGGTGGGCTCCACATAGGGAAAGCTCTGATGGGATTCTGCCCAGATCCCCCATAGGGGGCCCAGGGGCCCCCCATCTCCTCTCTGTGCCTGGTGTTAGGGCAGAGCATTGGTAATGGAAGAATCCTAGGGGTCGCTCAGAGCTACATATTCAGGCTCTGGGGTGAGGGGGAAGCAGGGCCCAAAGCTGAGTGGGGACAGAACACTGATTAATGAGGGTCACTGACTCAGAGGTCCAGCCTCCCGGTGCATGCTGGGGTCAGCAGACCCATATGGGGGGGCGGTGCACACCTGCTCAGCCTCGGTGTGAGGTGAGTGGGTTCGCTCTGTGCGGCCAGAGGATTAGTACTGATTCAGAGCAGGTCAGGTGCACTGCACGGGGGCTTTTGTTCAGCCCTGCCTGCCTTTGTCCCTTGCCTGTAGCACGCCCTGGCGACATGATGTCACTTCAGCCGCATTAAGCTGGAACAGCTCAAAATTGAATAATTAATTACACTCAGCTTCAGTTGCAGTGACTAATTGATCAGGGGCCGTCAGAAGACACCTGGACAGGATTAACTGGGTACAATAAGGGCTGCAGGCAGGTGGCATGGGCCCCCATCCTCCAGGCTCTGTGTGTGATTTAATTAGGGCTGACTTGATTTCTCTATTCTTGCTGGAGGTCTCAGGCAGATCCTATCCTGGCCGAGGGTGGCATCTGGACACGGTGACAGGCCTGGGGGTCTGGAAGCCTACAGTCCCCCAGACCACCTGTGCTATGGCTAGTTCTGTGGCTGGGGCAGGGGTCTAACCTCAAGGCGTCTTGGTCGCCTCACCAGTCAAGTGGGTATGTCATTGCCATGTCCCAACACCCTGCTGAGCCTTGGAGTGGGGTTACTTTTGTCCCTGGCTTCTTGGCCCCTCCAGAAAGGGTGATTCAGCTGGCCCCTCATCTCTTGAATAGCTGGAGCAGTGGCCCCTAGACCTGTACGGTCTGTCTTATCCCTTGTGGACGCCCTGTGGTAACCAACTGTCTTTCAATACCATTATCTCTGGAACCTCCTCAACTACCCAGCCCAGCTTCCTGGATGTGAAGCAGTGTCTCATCCTTTGGCAGCCTGACGTACAGCCCTGTTCTCAAACCAGGCTTAGTCAACATGCTGCGGAAGCTCACAACCGTGTAAACAGTACACCCCGCTCCTGTGAAGCACTGAGTGTATAGTCGGGTTGGCCATGAAGGAGCTGACTTCAAGTTTGAGGCGAGTGTTACAGTACGGACCTGCACAGTGGAAATGCTCACACCACGTAGTCTCTGTCGCCTTCACAACTGCCCCGGCTTTCCCCTTGGCCCCATGCTCTTGCCAGGGGACTGCAAGCAGTGGTGGCCGCCCCGAGACAGTTATTTCTTGTCTCTTCTTCTGTTTTTTTCATTTGGAAAATGTGAGTATCTTGGGTATATGTGAATGGTGGTGTCATCTACCTTCCCAAGTGAACCAAACAAGAGCCAATAAGCCCCTGGTAGGGATGGGACAGATACTCTGGATGAGGAGACGAGATGGAGGGGTTGTCACCATGGCTGGCATGGATGAGAGGGCTATAGCTCTTCAGCGGATGGTTCCTTCCTCAACTTCCTGTCCCTTCCTCAACTTCCCCTATGCCTACTTCTAGGACAAGAGTTCACGGTCTTCCACTGTCCCCCTCTGTCTTTGCCTTGTTCTCTCTCCTTATAGAATGTTCTCCCAACAAGAGATTCCAGGTCTGTGGGGGCAGTACCTCTGTCAAGTTCCTCTTCCAGAAGGGACACAGAGTATCAGCTGTCATGGTGTCACATTGGCAGCCCATGGAGCAAATCACTTCCCATCCTGGAGGCCCGGGCGAGCTCCTGTCTCCACATCCAGCTCTGCCATGATGCCTGGCAAGGATAACGTCTCCAGAGTTTGAGGACAAAATTCAGAGGTGGCTACAGAGGGAGGAAGGGACCAGAAGGCTGAAGCAGGGATGGGTCATATAGATAGTGGGATCCATTATCACCTAGGAGTGGTTTCTGGATGTTTCTGTTACTGCTATCAACATTTACCCAAGTACCATAAAGAAACAAAGAGCTCCACCAATCTAAACACATAGCAGACAGGGTCTGCTGACACTCAATAAACCAGACCACTGCTGGGCCGGTCTTTTCTCCCCAGAGGCCCAGCTATGGCTCTAACGGGTACTAGGCAGAGCCCTTTGGGTACATGTGGCATGCTCCCCCGGAGCCCTGGTTGCCTGTGAAGGTAAGTCATTTGCTGCAAACCTTTATTTTCACATGACAGAAGCAGTTTGTTGTAACAGATTCAGATAGGGAAGAATGTGGTTCCCCCAAAATAATCACTGCTGACTGGTTGCTGTGGCTCCTTCCAAATATTTTTAGGCATATCCAGTCATTGAACTAAATATGTACACACTCACGCTTTTTTTTTAACAGATGGGATCATCCGACACAGACGGTCCCTTTAACTTGTCTTTGCTCCCAACAACATGCTCCCGACTTCCCTTGCCCGTGCACGCCGCCCGGCTTCATTCTGTCTGTCAACTGAGTAGTAAAGAGTATTCCTTAAATGGATGCATTTCATCAAGCCATTTCTCTAATGATGGGCAACAAGATCACCACAATTTTTTTTTTTTATATAATTACAAGTAGAGCTGCTGGGAGAGAGAGAGAAAAAAAAAAAAAGTGACCTAAACATTCTATCCACATCTGCAACACACTGCAAAGGGGCATTTGAAATATTCTTCTAAAAGGGCTACTGCAATTCACACTCCGATAATGGCAGATGATTGGAAGAATTCTACTAAATCGGGAGAGACTATAGGATGACCGGAGGGGAAACGCAGAGGGAAAATGGGAGCTTGATAGGCGCTACGGAGGGAGTGTGGGCCTCTTTCCCTCTGCCCTCAGGGGTTGCTTTGGGGGAGCTGAGCTTTGCTTGGGGGGTGGGAGGATTCCAGGATGTGCTGAGCCCCCATCTATCTATGTCAGAGGGTCCTACCGAGCCAGGCTGACGACTCATTTATCAACCAGCTGCACGGAGCTGACCCCATTGCCAGTTTGTTGCCTTTCCCCAGAGGCCCTTTTTCCAGGGAGAGGACTGCAAGAGCTCAAGACTTGGGGAAGGTGGGGCTTCTTTGAAGAAGAGAAGCCTCCTTCCTGAGTGGGGCTGAAGAGAAGAGATTCAAACTCCCTGTTATATTTTCCCCTTGATTACTATCCCAGAAGTGCTTTGCTTTTCTAAGTCGCAACTCCACTGGTTAGTGCTATGGCGAGAGGGTAGCTACTCTTTCCTTCAAAGCATCTGGTTTTGGAGACCCAGGTCCCTCATGAGGGATGGTGTGAAGTTCCATATTTCTGTCATCATCAGACCTTGACACAGGGTCCCCCAGGCCTGCCAGAGGACAGCCGCCTGCTTGGCTGCTCTGGTCAGCCTCCCCTGCCCTCTTCCTGCCCTCAAAGCACTTCAGAACCAGGAGCACAGCTTCAAACGGAAGGTCACTGGGCCCCTGGCCTTGGTGACTCCCTTCAGAAGTCAAAGGCCATCCAGACACAGGAATCTCTTCAAAAGTCAAAGGTCACGCAGAGGCCTTTCCTGTTCTGTTTGTACTGGCTGGGGGCGGTGTCTGTGGTGGTGCAAGCATACAGAAGGTCAGCGCCCCCCTCCCACACACAGGGGCCTAGAGAACATTCTCCTGGGGGGAGGTTTGAATTTCTACTTTCTAATTCAAGTGCTGGCCTCTATGCCTCAGTTTCCTTGCTTGCCCAGACACCTGGCACCAGGCCAGCTCTGAATCTCACTCTATCTCATTTCTTGGATGTTCATCATGGGATCCCACTCCTGGCAGTGCCTTTTGTGAAGAGGTGAACAGATAAATACCAGAATCTGCTAAATGTAGCCACGGCAGCTTAAAGCCTCCACCTAGCCTCCAGGTAGTGTCTGGGTGTGGAAAGCCACGGCGAGTGTCCTGTTACAGAGAAATCAGCAGAGGTCTTTCCTACCTATTGCTAAAGTCAGGATGCGTGGAGCCCCCGACAAGCGGACAGAGAGGAATAGCTTTTCCAGGGCGAAGGAGGCTGCACACGTGGAAGGGCAGCTCTCTTTCTGACATGAGCTGCACCCACCACCCTGGACAAGCCCAGTCTGGCCCCAGCATCCAACTTCCTTATGTATTTACTTAAACCCTGCCTCATCCTGAAGAGGACTTACGGCCTCACCATGAATGCCATCTTTGTGCAGCCCTCCAGCGCTCAAGGCCAGGAAACCCAGGCAGGGTAGCCTGGCTGGCTGGGGAGGTGGGGGCCCCACCTGGCTGGAGGCCCAGGCAGGGTCACCTAGACATTGCTACCTCTTCACACAGAACTTCCTCAGGCTCCTCGACCTGGGAACAAGCAGACCTTGGCAAGCTCCCTTGATGGGAAGATAAAACCTATTGAAACTCTCCCCACACATATGGATGGCACCTCTGGGTCAGTATCTTAGTGTATACCCCCGGGCGGCGTGGAGAGCAGTCTCCTGCCCAGGGCTCTGTGGATGTAAGTCCTGTAGTTTATGGCCAGTCCACATCCACTGGGGACCAAGTCCAGTAGAACGGCTCCTGCCCTTTGCCTGACACCTGCCTAGGTCTCAGGGTGTGCCACTGACGTGGTGTGGCCCCTCTCTCCCTGTTTGTGAGATGTCCTATGTGCATTCTCACTTCCTAGCTGTCCCTCAATATCCAGAGGGTGGCTTTGAAGCCACCCAAGGGACACTAGAGTGGTTGTTCCTTCCTGTTTTCCCTGGAGGTACAACAGCCAGGGTCTGGGCATCCCTTCACAGGCAGATAGAGAGCTTCAGGAGGTGGCGTGGAGGACAAGAGAATGCTGGCTACTGAGGACCGTAGGGGATGGCATGCTGCCCAACAGTTTGCACTCAGGAGAAGCTCTCCATCCTGCCCTCGGATGGATGAAGAGACTGCGAGCTCTGAAGATATCCAGGCACCTTCTCTGCAGACCTAGGTCTCAAACCCCAAAGAGCTTTTACTGTTGGAGTGGCCAGTCTTCTAGCGAATTGTGTAGGCCTACGCGGACGAGGAGAAATTCCCTCGAGATTGCTGTCCCCTACACCCAGCCCGGAAACTTTGTGAACTTTGTCCTTCTAACACCTGGGAAGCTTTGGGTCAAAGAATGGAAGAAAATGTGCCACTGTTAGAGCCACGAGGGCTAGTTCTGGCCATGATGAACACAATGGCTGCCTGTGGAGTTCAGCGGGGGAAGGCAGGGTGGAAATCAGACTCCAGGTCCCATGTACATTCCAGCCTGTGCAGGACAGCCTACACGAACTCTGTCCCACTCTCAGTGGCGCCTGCTCCACTTGTGACGGGGGGACATTTGGGTGGTCCCGCCACCTGTTGGAAAGCTCAGATGCCTGTAACCAAAGCAGGGCCTGGAAATAGCCTGGAACATGGCACGTCGTGCTGGCGCTGCCCTTGGCCGCCTGCTAGGGAGGTGTCTTGGGAAGAATTTGAAAGGCAGACATTTTATGTTGTGCGTTTGTTGTTCTGCAGTGCTGAGGATTGAACCCATGGTCTTGTACTGGGTTTTCAGCCTGGCCTAGAACACACGCTACAGACTCAACTTACCTCAAAGTTGGAAACTCCTGCTTCTGGCTCCTGTGTGCTGGGATCCCAGGCCTATGCTGCCTCATCTGCAGAGAGACAGACTTTGTGACCCTTCTAAAAGATCGATCAGCTTTGGTTTTTAGACACATATAGACCTACATTCCCACACTGGGTTAAGTTTACCACTTTGGAACCATAGCTCTGTAGACTAGGGAAGGGGACCCTCCTTTGGAGTTCTACAAAGCTCAGGGACAGCTAGAGTCCACAAGGAAGCTGCAACATGACCATAGTTGTCCTGAAAGTCACTTGAGGGCAGAGTTAAGGTCCTTGGAGACCAGATCAGTCCTTTGGCGGCTCCTGTAGTAGAGCGGAGGCTACCACTTCAGAAAGACCTTTCCGAATGGTACAGAGGTTACAGTCCATGAACAAAAGGTCAGGAACGGCCACAGCTGCCAGGCACCAAGCCATCTGAACATCCCAAGGGCAGGGGTTATCAGGAAAATGTGTCATTCCCCTGTACTCACCCACCCACCGGGTTCAGGTGGGCTACAGAGAGCAAGCAGGACAACAGAGCGGCCCTGAGGTCTTGGCCAACAAGCTCAACACACACTGCTGACCCTGACAACAAACCCCGGACAAAGGACACAGTGCCCGAAAGCTCTTGTTTGACTTCCCACAGTCGGTGGCTTCCGTGCGAGAATAAGGGGCCCGTATTAGCAGTTTCTATGGCTCTGGGTGTATGTGTGTATGCTAGACATAAACAGGCACGCCGGGTTGGGGTAGAACTGGGTGTCATGATCAGAGCTGGTCACTGCTGGCTGTGTGAGCTTGGATATGTTACTTCCTACTGGTGGGCCTCCATTTCCTCAGCTGAAAACCAGGACAGGGGGCCGTCTTGACTGACTCTTGTAAGAATCACGCACACAACCCTCCCGAGGGTAATCAGTTCAGGATGAACCCTGCTTCCTACTAGGCGAAGGACCTGCTTGGCCCTTGAGCCCCAGGTTGGAACCTGGTAAAATCAGTTCTCTGCCAGGAAACTCAAGCAGCAGCCTTGCTGCTCTCTCTGTATGTCAGCTGGGGACACTTGAAACCAATAGAGGACGGCGGCTTTAGGCAGAAGTAAATTGCACACTTCAGAGGGCAAGGTGAATCCTCACATAGCCGATTCTGGGTGTTCTGGGTCCATGGGAGAAATAAGGCAATGGCTGCAGGACTTTGGCCATGAGAAAAACGACCAATTAAGGTGCTTTGGAGAATGGTGAGTCTCCAGGCCCCACAGAGGGAAGGGCAAAGAATGTGAACAGATGAGACGTGGAAG